AATATTTCAGAAAATTGGAAAAGGTTTTTATACACAGGTAATTATTAAATTTAAGTATCCTAAGATGTACAAAAGAGAGAGATCTGGGCCCAGCACACTGGTAGCCTATGGATCACGTCTGCTCCATAGACCTGGTCTCTGACACACAGACAGCTTCACTGTCTTGGGTTACGTTACCCAGGGGGCAGGCAACAAGGCCTGTCCCGGAGCCTCAGGGAAGGGGTCTCAGACAAGAGCTGCCTGAGTCAGCCAGGCAAGCTGACGGGGAAAGGAAGCAGTGAGGTGGCTCAGCGTTGCTGGCGAGAGAAATAACCAGTGTGAGTAATAAAAAAGGGAATATCACCACCAAGCCTGCAAAAGGTAATTTAAAAGATAACATTCTATGGGTAGTCTGGGGCCAATAAATTTGAAAAAAAAATACATGAATTGAACAAATTCCTAGGAAAAAAAAAACACAACTTATCCAAAAGAAAACAGGAAAAAGAAAATATGAATAGTCTTATAGTGATTTAAAATTTTGAATAGTACTTTAAAATCTTCCTAGAAGAAAACTCCAAGCAACCGATGGATTCTACCAAGTATTTAAGGGGGGAAAAAAAAGTCATAATGATCTTACACAAAAACTTTTGGAGAAGAGAAAATCTTTCAGGTAATACATTTCTCAAATTATTTTTATTGTATTTTCTTATTTCAAGAGGATTTCTAAGAGGGAATACTTCCTACGCATTTGATGAGGCTGGCATGACCCTGACATTAAGGACTAGGGGATGGCTGGGTTGATTTCTTCTCTAACCCATGAAACTAAATAAGTGTGTTCACTGTTGCCAGATACGTTGAAACATGTGCTTTCACTGTAAAATACATCAGTCACTGTTTACAGGTCTAACCATCTGCCTCTTTGCCCCCCTCCACATCAGTTGCTGCTAAAAGCTGTTGGAGAAACTGTGTGGGTTAATATGCTATTACAAGTTATCACCTTCAGCCTCAGCAGACCCTGCACACTGCTAATAAACTTCCTCACGAGTCTGGTCAGCCTTCCGTTCTCACTGTCAACGTTTCTCCTCGCAGCCCTTTCCTCACCCCTCACACCTCTCCTCCCTGCCTCGGCCCTAACTTCCTGCCCTCCCTCACCTGTGGTGAACATTCTCTACCTCCCACCCACTCCAGCCACTCTGGACTTTTTTCTAGTCCTCAAACATGCCACACTTGAAAAAAGTACACACACACACACACACACACACAATTTGGATAAATAGATTAAAATAAGTAGTTAAAATATTTCATTGCCAGAAATCACATCCTTGCAAATCAACTTATAAATTCCTTTGAAATAAACAGAGTAGAGTTAGGATAAATGTAGAAAGCCACACGACGTGCAGCCTCTTCCCAGCCAGAATCTACGGTCCCGTGTGAGTAAGGGAAGCTGCTGGTACCCGGAGGGGCCTCTGAGCACAGTGGCTCCGTGACGTCAGGGCTGCTGCTGCTCCGAACCATTGGCTGCTGCTCGGCTGCTGCCAGGGGGCCGGATTCGGCTGCAGCTGCATTTTCCGGCTGCGGGCATTCTTCCACTTCTGTGGGCATTGACACAGAACATGCAGGGATGTATTTCAAGATTTTTAAAAATAATTTCACTACTTAAAACAACTGATTCTCAAAATCATAGTTTTAGATACTATTTTTTTCCACAAAAATTGTGCAGTAAGATCATTGTCTTTCACATCATAAAGTTTTCTACACTTGTTAACAGTAATATTCCACTCCAAGTGCACATCTGCCTTTTAAGTTCTACAAAGCATTTTCTTTCAGTCAAAGTGAAGAAAACAAGAAGGGAGAGCGAGCACAATATTTGAGAACTGTGAAAGTCATTGGAGTTTCAGGGACAGGCATGTCAAGGGAGGAGGGATCTGGGAGATGCAAGGTAAGGTCACTTACATGTGAAAGAGTGGGACATCACGGGTGCGCGCGCGCGCACACACACACACACACACACACACACACACACACACACACGCCCTAAAGGAAGATAAAAAGAAATGGGAATTTCAACTTGATTATTCTTTTTAACAGATAAATGTACAACTGTCTAAAATAAAATACTGTAATTATTTAATGACATTTCACCAAACGCAAGGTTGAATTAATCACTAAAGTACAAAAACGACTCACTGGTGTTTTTAAAGAATCAATAAACATATGTCATAAAATAGAAAACCACAGCTGAGCACTGACCACTGGGTGATCCCATCTAGGATATCTATGAACCATATTCCCCTAAAGAAGGGAAGTCCCTCCGAGCTCGTTTCTAAACTTCACGGTTCATTTTAATCTCCAAAGACAACCCAAGGTGCTGAAGAGTCACCCCACCACCTCTCTGCAGCTCCGGGTTTCTATCATCCCTCTGCTCTGGCATCACCATCAGACTCCTAACTTGTGGCCTCAGAGAGGTCCCGCTACAAGAGAGATGCGACCGCGCCACTCCTCCTGTGGAGGCCCGAGGCCCCCATCACTGTCCGTCAGGCTTGCGCTCCAGTGCCCCTAGAGGTCACCCCACAGGCTTGATCCCCCACCAGGAGCTCTCCCTCACTTTAGTCTTGAGCAGGCCCCGCCCACACAGCCCCTGCAGCTCCCCACTCGAGGCTGACCTCCCCCGGGCCACCCAGGCGCCCCTCCTGTAGGACTTGCCACGTGGTCCTGCGTGTGACCCCCACCGCTGCCTGCCCCCCAGGCTCCACGCTCCCCCATGCAGTCACGGACCTCTACACCCATATTTTCCCCAAATTTTCATTAGCTGAAGTTTCAGTCCTTCTAAAAAGGGACTCATCAAAATTCAGCCTTACCTGGAAGTGTCACCTGATTCCTCACCTGAAATGCAACTCGCCACCAAGGTGCCCCCATTCTGTGTAACCATTTCACCAGAGCCACAATCCAAAGGGCTGGTCGGCCCCAAACAGGAAGGTGTATGTAGGAAGGTTCTAAATATAACACAGAGGATTTCACCGAAGGACTGCTGCTTTTATTTTTACTATCCACATAAAAACTCCATTTTTAAGTACACTGATACAAGTTACCAGGCCTCAAAACCGTGAAATGTGTGTGATCCCTCGCTTTATAATGCAAAGTCCTGGGCCACATTCTCCATTCAGATACTGATGGGAAGCTGGGCTTAGGGGACAAGCAGAGTAAGGGAAGGTGGCAGGAGCAGACAGACCCGTTACAGCCTCGTCTTTCCAGGCCGTCTCTGCTCTTCCCTGCTCCTGAACAGCCACGAGAAACACCGGACATCCTAAGGGCTCTGGGATGCTCTGCCCAGCATCCCGGAGCAGAAACCAGCCCCCTCGGCTCTACTCCCAGGGTCCTCAGCAGCAGGCAACAGAAGCCAGATGACCCCACAGACCATCCTTCCCGCTGTCTTCTTTCACTGTTTATTCTAGTTATGCAAGATACAGACACCTTCTGGGAAGGGTTTCTACTTGTTAATGAACCTGCTTGTAAATCCCAGTCAGCAGGTCAGCAGAGGGAGCCCAAGAGCTTCCTACTTCTCTAAAAGATAATTGGCACCCGCTGGTCTTTATGGACAGTGGGAAGAGTGGGTTTTATTCCCTTAAACATGATGCCAAGAACTGGTAGATGTTGGTTTCTGGCCTCTGAGCAGAAACAAATAAGAGCAGGGCCAACAGTGGCAGCATCATTTTCAAGATATAGAACGACGTCATCTGGTGGGATGCAACAGAGCCACAGGACCACGAGTGTCCCCACTGGTCCTCAGACAACAGACAAAGAGCCTGCCATGGCCAGCTGGTCTGCCTTCCCAACAGGCTGGCCTGATGTGGCTTTAATGCTCTGTTTTTGTAAACCTGTTGGTAGGGCCTTCTCAGATGGAGGAAGTCCAAGCCTGAAGAAACCATGGGAAGAGGTGGGACGGGAACCGCTGAGAAGAGTGGGAGGGAAGGGGAGAACCATGGGTCCGGGGATCTGTCAGGCTGTATGGGGACGGTGCCCTGAGCTGTCCCTGTACTTGGCTGTTATGTTGACAGAGTGTGTAAAAAAGGATGTAAATTCTCCTTATCCCACAAGTTAAACCCCATTTCCTGATTTGTATATGTACACCTTTTGGCCTTCTCTCATAGTTTGTACTAAGTATATACTCAAGATTTGTTTTGTATAGATGAACAAATGAATATCAGAAACATTTTCTTAATACCTTTTTCCTCTTTCTTTTTTAAACAGTTCTCGAGCTCCCTCTGCTGGCTTTTTATTTTTGTTAAGGCTGCGCCCCTTCTACAGGGTCAGCTGTAGCAAATGCTCTTTCATAACAGATTAAAACCATTTAACACTGATATGCAAATATCAAGGTAGAGGATTATCTGATATGCAAAATATAAAAAGGACAGTCTAGGTTATATAAAAATTGCGTCATAAATTCTGGGAGGTCTAATGCATTCTCTGTTTTGACTATCACACAATTTGAATCACTTCAAAGAGCTGAATTCTATGTCAGATTCACCGAATCATTCACTTTCTCTCAAGCAGAGCTAACCCAATAACCCGAACTCTGAAAGCACCAACTTTCTAGCTTCTTGATAGCGTAAGTTACACAACACCAACACCATTACTAAATCATTGCTTTCTAAAGCTCATTCAAAGCACCAGAAAAATGATCGAATAAGGATTAATTTCATTTTTTCCCACACTGAGAGAAGAATTGGCAATGATTAAATTGTGTAAACTCTTCAGAAACTTCTATTTATTCAGGAATCTGACTACTTTTCAAAAGAAATTTCATTCACTCTTTAATCTAAGCCTTCCTTAATCCATCTTATTAAACATACTGAGACTCATTCTTCAGTCACCAAAATTCTGGGTTCCATTTACCCCTCATATGAGGTTGCACAAGCAAAATTAATTGTGCCATTTCCTAACTTTTAAAGCGCTGTGCACAAACCAAGCTGACCCTATGAAAAGCACAAGAGACATAAATCAACTCAACATCTTGACGTGTCCCACGAGGACCACAGGTGAATCAGCCCGGACCCTGCCCACAAGCACATCCTGATAACTGGGCACTACCTGGAAGTCGGAGAACCAGAGGCAGACGCCGCCAAAGTGAGACTTTCAATCAGGTCCCATTAAGCCTCTTTTGGAATGAGGGAAGATCACTGATCCTCTAATTACTACTATTACAATATTCCCCAAAGAAAAATAAAATCTACCGTCTGCATGGCCTGTAAGTGCTACAGATTGATAAATGTCCCAACATAAAAGCAGTTAAAATTGCAAAACAGCTAGAAAGAATTGTTTTCACAAAGGAGAAAAAAAGGAAATCACTGAAACTGCCGGTTCCACCCCCACGTGTTCGTTTATGCAGCTATTCATACTAAGTAACGGAATATAGGTGGTTGCGACTGTCCCAAAGTTCTGTTGCCACCAAATAGAGAGCCCCAAAGGGATCAGAATAAGACATCATAGTGGGTGAAGGTAAGTAACTCTCTGTAGTTTCGGTTATTAAAACAATTTTGGTGGGTTGAGTTATCATATAGACAAGGAACAAAACCAAGAAATGTTAACTTAAATGAAAACAAAATTAGCAATCATCTTATCGTAAAGGACGTGTGGCCAGAAGGTCAACGTTAAAATTGCCTGTGTATTATGCACATGCGGATGTATGCCTACTACATCTGTATTTAGCAAAAGTTTAGCAAGATATGCCAACACCAGAATTCAAACTGGAGCACACGTTTAACACTCTCATGTGCCTGTCAGTGGCAGATGTACAATCTCAGACTGGGGACTGACGTGCATCACTCTGGGCCCAGACTCTTGATAGGACAGTTACACGGGACCGTGGCTCACTTTTCTGGTAAAGAAGAAATGGCTTCAGATGAGGGAGGAGCTTGCGACTGTGGTTTTCAGATGAAACAGATCAGCAGATCGTCCTCAAAGTCACCATAGTGCTAGGTCCCTTCACCCTTTGTGCTATAAAACCAGTAGTGAGGATGGCAGAGGCCAGAAAGCACAGACCAAGCATGGCCTGCTTCACTCCACGCTAAGTTGGGGTCTCTCAAACCTCAGCATCACTGATATTTTGGGTCAGACGGTTCTCTGTGGCGGCTGTCTTCTCCACTGTAGGATGGTTAGCAGCATCCATCCACTGGATGCCAGTGGCACGACCCCAGCTGTGACAACCACAGATGTCTCCGGACATTGCCACATGTTCCCCGGGGGGCAAATCATCCCCAGTTGAGAACCCCTGCTCTAAATCATATTCTGCTTCTGTTGGAACTGTGTATATAAATATAGGAATCAAGAATCTGAGTCAGCTAAAATATAATAATGAATGAGAAAAAAGCTCCCAAAATGAAATTACTAACAGGAAGAGATTTCTTGTGAGAACACATTCTGGACAAACTAGTAAAAAAATTTAAACAAAATGGGAAAAAAATGGGTTGTGAAAAAAGAAAACTTTTCACCATGCAAAAAGTTCCTTATATCAGCCAAATAGAAAGCCAAAGTATTTTAAATACTTTATTAATCATCTCCAGGCAGGAGTACTTTTTGGAAAACCAAATTATGAAGCAGTTAATGCTCATCAGTAATTTAACTGACTGGTGGCCATCTTCTCCTGTACCATTCTTACTATTTTCCAACTTCAGTATTTACTAGGGAAAAAGAGCTTTCTAAGAAACATAGTCCTTAGTTTTCCCTCATATTCTAGAAATTAAATAGTATGATATTTTAGATTCTCATCAGAGGAATGAAGCTAATTTTGCTTTGCTCAAAGCCACAAGTAAGCTATCTCCAGTATTAAGTAAGTACTAGTCTATAATACCATCTTTTGGAAAATAAAAAGAACATGGAAATATTTCCCGCTTTAGCAAGAAGATTCAGTTCATCTTAGGATCATTGAAAAATAAGTAGACATAGACCTAATTATTCACTGTAGACCAAAGTAAATCCTATTGCTGAGGTGTCCACGCCAAAAATTTCTTCTGGTGCTGTAACATCTTAATAAACCAGAAAGTGCACTGTATATAAACAACAGGTAGCTAAACTCAATTTTACCTGGCTGAAGGCCAGGAATAACATTTCTTTGTTTTGAAAATTAGCAACTTTTATCATTTTTTTTTTGACTCTAAGCTCAATAATCAGTATGAATCTGTATAAACTGATCATTACTTTAAACATGAATTATCACATGATTTACTAACTCCAAGGAAGTCTAGCCTGTAGAATTTTTCCAGTTTATTCATTTTTGGGGGGAGGCCCAGCAAACATGCTAACATTGGCACACTCATAACTGTTGTAGAATTTTATGAATTCCTTCCTCTCTGTAGGCTCCCTGTTGAAGGCACACGAGGCAGGCATCGCTGTTCTCCCCTTGTAAAATGTCCCACTATCGTGCTCAGCTGGGAATGCAAAGACCAGCGGTGTTGCAGAAATTCTGCCTATCTAATTGCTACTAAGCCTCTTAACTGCATAGAAACAATTGATATTTGTTGAAAATAAAGGCAAAGTGCAATGGCCAGGTAGGCATGCGTGACGTGGGGAAGTTAACAAAGGAAGCCAGGCGCAGAGGCGAGCGGGAGCAGCCCAGGGACGTGGGGGTGCCACATGAGACAGCATTACAGTACCTGACAGCCTGTGAGAGCAAGAGGTGTAAGATAGACCAGGGAACAGAGCGCTCACGGTGTGGAGGAGATGCGGGACGCTTTTAGTGGCGGGCAAAGCCTCAGAGAGGTGGGCACAGCTGCTGATAGACTGGCTTCGCTTAGCTTCCAGGAGAGATAAAGCAACAATCATGTCAGAAGAACCGCAGGATCTTTCACTTCCTTTTCATTATTATTATTTTTCTGGTCTCTCTTTAAATATTCAAAGGAGGTCATTTCAAACTTTAAAGGAAGTTAGCACAAAGCACAGTATTTAATGATAGTCTCTAAATACAGCCAACTTTCAGTCATTCTGATGGCACAGGAGCACAGGCCTTTCACAAATAATCAATCTCATTTTATAATGCTTTGTATGTTGAGCCTTTCCTTTTTTTCTGCTGTGTATCAGATTCACTTTTAGCTTGTTTGTTTACCTGGGCAGACATTACAACCAGTTTTCTCTTCCTGATGGGTCCAAACAAAAAGGCCACGGTGAGGGAGGGAAAATCTAACCTAAGATCACAATGGTTTCATAAATAATCAATAATTCAAAAATTGGTTTACTGAGAGATGACTGTATTCAAAAGCAAGTCATTTAGTAAACTGAATAGCCTAAAAGCTTCAGAACACATAAAAGTCAAGTTGAACATTCAAGGATCTGGTATTTGGGAAAAAGGTAAAAAATCTCCATGAAACCCATCCTTTTAAATCACATTTTGTGCTTATTAAATCCACAATTTCTTAGTACAAAATTTATGGTGTTCCTAAGTTTCTATGTACTGCTAGTCAAAACCATTTGAGAAAATGGATGGACACAGGAAGAGAATAGGCCTCATACATATGAAACCACCATCAGTAAAACCAGTTTTACCCTTAAAACAAAAATATGGAGGTTTACTTGCTGTATTATTTTCACGTGATTTTATTTAACATTAACGGAATACAACTACAAACGGTAGTGACACATTTGCAAAAAGCAAAACAAACTTTTTACTTTCCTGTCTTCCCCCACTCTCTGACTATCAGAATTCCCAGCTCTACAGAACTGTCTGCAGAACTGATTACAGCATAATCACAAATGTATAAGATACTATTTAGGTGAAAACGACTTCCGTGTAAACATCAAACTGACTGACTTCAAATTTCCTAAAAGATTTGTCTAATGTTCAATGTCAGGGCCGTTTCATTTGAGTGTTGCTTTAAAACGTTTTCCTCTTGGGCTTCCCTGGTGGCGCAGAGGTTGGGAGTCCGCCTGCCGATGCAGGGGACACGGGTTTGTGCCCCGGTCCGGGAGGATCCCACGTGCCGCGGAGCGACTGGGCCCCTGAGCCATGGCCGCTGGGCCTGCACGTCCGGAGCCTGTGCTCCACAGTGGGAGAGGCCACAAGAGTGAGAGGCCCGCATACACCCCGCCAAAAAAAAAAGAAAAAGAAAAAGAAAAAAGGTTTTCCTCTTATAATTCAAATAATTGTACATTTTTCCAAAATTGATCACTAGATATTTTAGAGATAATAAAATACAGATTATTTTGCGTGAAAATTAATTGACTTGCTTTAACCATTCACTTTAGATATGTAAAGTTTTAGCATCATTCACACTCAGGAATGGAGGCTGACTCTGTCATTCTTAAGACTCCCCCTGCCAGTCCTTTTAAGGTGCAAACGAGTACATTCCGTTAAATTAATTGTCACTCCCCTACTCCACAATTGCTGATTTTACATTTCCCTCTTGCCACCATCACTGACATTTTCTCAGTCTAAGTGTAGTCTGTGGGGCAAATTATAATAGAATAATCTTAAAATATTCTCTTACTGGGATTAGGAAAAAAAGTCACTTTCAAATGGGTCTTCCATAATAAAAATCTTCATGATAACTGCACAAACTAATGTTATGAGCTGCTTCCTGTTCTCTCATTAAAAGGTGGCCTCTACACAACCAAAATCTACCATGAAAATGTTCTGGGCCTTCTTAAAAGACTAAAAATACATAAAAATAATAGAAGTGAGTAAAAGCTCATGTAGTCTACGTAGATTGCATTTATAAAACAGCATGATATAATAAAATATTCAAAAACCATTGTTTTCATGGGCAACAAGAGTCATAATATTTTATAATATTAAAAAATACAAAATAGGAAATACATATATACATATCCATACACGTATGTGTGTAGAATACATGAAGATAAAAGATCTGTCCTACTCAATAGCTCTCATCTTCACTATCTTTTAAAGGTTACGCTTCCAAGTGTTTTTAATTGAATGAATCCTACAAAGGCCAGGTTTATGGTGTTGAAGTGACATACTCTACAAGGACCTTTACATGACTTTGTATTGGGTTGGCCAAAAACTTCGTTTGGGTTTTTCCGTAAGATGTTACTTTTTGGCCAACCCAATAAAAGCTCTTAGATTTGCATGACTTTTCAGGCCCCTGAGAACACTGATAAACAGAACCGCACGGGCATAAAGGCACAGAAGATTTTCTAAAACCTACTGGCGCCTCTACCGCATTGCTGGTCTAGAATACCTCTTGAAAAACGAAGATGCAATCTCTCCTATGGCTGTGTTTTGGCCAAGTAGTGGCAAATGGAACATGCAATATACAACCATTTGCTGCTCGTTAAAATGTGAGAATAAAATTTTAAAAAGTGCTTTGAATGAACACTTTTATCACCTCTGTAATTCAGGGGTTGTGAGGGGCAGCAGGAAGTCTGGGTGGCTCAGGCATGATGCCACCTTTGTCACAAACTTCTCTTCTGATCCCTTTTAAGGATCCAGTGATGGAAGAAAGGTATTTTAGGAGCTGGGATGAGAAAGGAAATGCGTGAATAAGCCTCCCCCAAAGCTGTCTGTTACCAGAAACTAGGTCTCTCCTCAGGGAGAGGAGGAAGCAAGAAGGGGGGTATAAATAAGGTGACAATGACAAACAAATACTATGGTGAAAACAAGGAGGAGTTAGGGTTAAGGCATAATATATTTTCATTAAAACTCCAACAGGATTCTAAGCCGTCTGTAGTAAGCCTTTACTAAGCACTGGGAAAAATGTTGAGTGTCCATGAATCTTTTTTATGACCAGAGGAAACTGTGACCTTCTCTCTGCAGTCAACATGCTGAATATCAATTACAATTGCATGGTATTATTGACGTGAAAAACTACAGGAATCTGAGAAAAACTCATAGGAATCTGTTTTAAACTTAAGTTACAGCCTCAAAGTCACCGGGAAGGTTCGGGGCTTTATTTGTTCTTATTAAAAACTGTATACAAGCTTACTTATTAAAGAGTGCTCTCTTTTTAAGAGTAAACTGTAGCAACAGTTTGATTAACTGGAGGTTCCCGGTCAAGTTCTTGTTAATTCTAACAGCCTGTAAGGTCAACATCTACAGGAATGTAAAGCTCCATTTTCCAAAGAAGCAAAAAATGTAAATGTCTCCTTCCAGTCCTGAAAACTAAGCCCTTATTCTCCTTTTCTTTGCTGGAATAAGTTTCCACCCTCTCTTCAGATCAGCATTGTTCAACAGCAACAACAATGCAACTGGTTGTGTGATTACTAAGAATCTATTTTCTTCAAGGATCAAACAAAACATCTATTTTCTCTCTTTTGCATGAATATCTCACTCGATATTAACATCTCAAGTTCTTTTTCACAATGAAGGATTTAGAAATAAATGTCACAAACTGATTCGGAAAGTAGTTAGACAGAAAGTTGGAAAGATACAGAGACATCTCAGTTAATAAAAGGCCTGGTGTTTTAAGTTCTGAGTGGAATTTTCAAACTTTAAAAACATTTGATTCCTATAAATCCATTCCTTTGAGAAATACTAGAACAGGTGCTTACCGGTTGCTTTCTGGCGGACGACGTTTCTTGCTTTCTCAACTCCCGGCGCCCCGGATGTGGTGGCACTCCTGAATCTCATGGGCTCGGCCACATCGGGGTGGCTCCGCCAGCTCAGAGAAAAGGATCTCCCCACGGTGGTTCCTTTCTGAGAATCTGGAACACAGCCTACGAGACAAGAAAAATAATCCAGACACTGAATTCATTATTATTTCTCTCATAGCCTGTGCTGCTCAGCAAACGTCATACACAGAATGATGTATAAGTCAGCAGATTCTCTTGCTGCAGATTAGGTGCCACTTCCTTATATTACAATTTAGGGAGTTATTCATATATCAGGAATCTGAAAATTCCTGTTGCCAAAGTATCTTTCAAGCATCTTCAACGGTCTCATTAAAATTCACGTATCTTCACAGTACTCATTCCAATATACAAAAAAAACATTAATAAATCTTCCTCAACATAAGAACAAGGTCAAAGGAAGTTACACCACTGCTCCCAGGATACTCCAAAAACTGCTTCTATAAACCAGTAAATTAGAGATCCTGATTTTAGAACAGTATTCCATCCTGTAGACGCCAACCTCCCCATGAATCCCCGAAAGAAATTTATGCCCATAAACTCTAATTATACTCAAATAAGCAAAGTTAATGAAATTCTACAAACAATGCAAAATCCTATTTCAAGCGAAGTTCCAAATAGTAAAATACTGCAGACCTGTGAATCACCTTTTTTCTCCTCTCATACTGCTCTGGACAAGTATTTTAAGTAAGTGGTCAAGGATCAAAAGAAATACAGTAGAAAAGAGAATGAGGCACTTAGAGGTTTCTGCACATGTACGATGTGGCTGGTGGCTGCCACCTGTGGCTCGTTGTCACACCCAGATTCTTCTGAGAGTGTACTTTGTTTCCACAAATCTAGTGCTTGTACAGCAAGTATTTCTATAATGGATATTTAAATGTGTTTTTAGAATAAGGCAATATAATAAATAAATCAGAAATATTTGCCATGGTCATTAATTAAATAGTAAAATTTGTTCTGTATCTTTCCTGAAAATAGCATTTTTTGAAGTTGTTTACCTTCCTAAGACAAGCCTATCCCTCCCTATGAATCTGTGTTCGCATAGTGGGAAGGAAGAGAATATTTTGGGGGCTGAAGGGGAGGGTGGATTATAAGAATTCCAGGAGGCAGGGAACATGGTTAGTTTGAGAAAGTCCTTACTTTCTGTCTCAGCCACTCCCCTCCATCCTGAAAGGCACCCCAGTCAGGTAGACTCTTCTGGACTGAGAGCCACAGTCCAGGGAGCCAAGTTCCTGGATGGAAGCACCTAGACCCTCCCAGACTCTGGGTTTACACAGAGGCCCTCAGAGCTGCTATGGAGGACACTACAGAGGCCCAGGGCTCAGGCTCTGGGCTCCCTGCCCTGACTTCAATCCCAAATCTCCATCTAATAGATCTTTTTAGGAAGGGGCTCCTTATAACTTCAACTAGGGAGAAAAAAGGATCTTCTGCTAAAGTATGTGAGAACATTGCATTAAACAGTCTAAATCTAAACTGGGATTAGACAATTCCACTGGAATGCCCCATACTTCAACTAGTTAGTTTTGGTTTCTCACTGACTTGCTCTTACTAACTGGTGCCTTGGCAAGCCACTCACAGACTGCAATGAAGACATTCTAGGAATCAGTCACATTAACTACATGGCTCTGCAGTTAACTAATCATTATAATTGGTTCACACTTCCCCGTATCCACATCCTCTGTCGTCCTCTCCCACATTAACTCTGGGCTTCAGCACATGACTTTTGGTTGCAAAACTGAGCAAGCAGAGATTTGAAATGTACCTGAAAATCTGAGTGTGTCCTCCTCTGCTCCTGGAACCCTAAGCCATTAGGTGAACAGCCTGAGCTAGCCTGCTGGGTGATGAAAGATGTACGGCCCCGTCACCCCTACTGTGCAGCCGACAGCCAGCTAACCCCTGGCAGTGGAGCTGCCGCTCGCTGAGCATGTCACAGCCCGGCTGACTGCGAACGCAGCTGTGAGGCCAGCACAACTGCCAAGCCATAAAATCATGATCTGAATAAATGGTGTTATTTGAAGCCGCTATATTTTGGGGTGCTTTGTCACACAGCAAAGCTAACTGACACCACCTACACTAAGACCACTGTTGAGGTTGTATTTGACCACAGCAAGTAACATGCTTTTTTGTAAGTCTCTGGAGGAAAAATTCCTCACAGGTCCCAGGACCAGGACAAGCCAAGCAACTAGCTTGTTTACACCTTTTGCACTCTGTGATTCTCCCGTGTTACTCTGTGATGATCAGAGTTGAATCTGCGGTGGCCCCCTTCCCGCCTCCCCAGCAGCACCCAGGCTCTTCACCGTGCATCCTAGCATTTTACCCATGCCTGGAGCTCCACCCCTGTTCATTCCGCCCCAGTGTCCTTATGTATTTTATCCATTGTATTATGTGTATTTCTATGAGCGGCCTCAAAATCTTTACACAATACGCTGGAGTACAGGGAATTAATCCAAGGATTGCGTCACAGCCTTAAAAACAGTAATGAAGACGGGCTGCAGAGGGTCATCCCCAACAGAGACCACCACTGAGGTTTCCCGCCTTGATCTGACTCCAGGTCTCACAACAATTTTCACCCAGAAACACAAAAAAGCCAAAATGACTCCACGTGAAGCATTCAGAACTTCTCCACCTTCCCGAAGCGGGGCAGCAGAATAGATGATAAATAGTGGGGCGCCTTGAGTGGGACTTGCCTGGCTTTGATTTCCAGCTTTACTGCTTCTTAGCTGTGTGACCCCGAGTGAGCCAATCCCTGTGGACTCTGTCCTTGAGTTTCTTGGTCTGCGATGCGGGGAGAGTGGCACGGACCTCACAGGCTCCCCTGAGGGTGAAGGCAGAGAAGGTGCACCCGGCCCCCGCCGCTCTCACTACTGTTCCCAATCCTCCTGCTTCCTTCTTCCCAGCCTGCCCGTCATCCTCACTAAGGGGACACAGTGCTAGGAGACGCGATCGAACACCACCGTTAAAACATACTGTCTGGGGCTTCCCTGGTGGCGCAGTGGTTGGGAGTCCGCCTGCCGACGCAGGGGACGCGGGTTCGTGCCCCGGTCCGGGAGGATCCCACATGCCGCGGAGCGGCTGGGCCCGTGAGCCGTGGCCGCTGAGCCTGCGCGTCCGGAGCCTGTGCTCCGCAACGGGAGAGGCCGCAGCAGTGAGAGGCCCGCGCACCGCAAAAACCAAACAAACAAAAAAAGATACTGTCCGTACAGCTGGTTCAGCTGACTATGAAATTCCATGCGTCGACTGCCTGCTGTTTAATACACACTCCTCCCCAGACTCAGATGCCCAGCGCCGCCCAGCCAGGCGGGAAATACCTTTGCCTCGCTGCTTCTTCTCCTTCTGTTCACTTAATTTGTCCAGAGGTAGGTTTGTCATCTCAACTCCGTACACGGTCCTGGCAAGCACCACCGTCAAGGAGTCCATGATGCTGGCCCACTCGTGGATGAGTTCCTCCCAGTCCGTGAGGGAGGACAGCACCCCGAGGAAGTCGTCCCAGAGCTCCCGAGAAATGTACACGCAGAGGTTTGCGCGGATCCAGGCCACTATGAGCGTCTGAAAACGACCAATCAACAGGAGAATTCAATCATCTCCATTTAGAAGAAGTGTACTTTCGACAAAACGCTGAAAATCTCTATTAATAAAATGAATTTTAACATAAAAAGTGCTTGGGGATACTGTGTTTAATTTCTCAAAATGCATCTGATCCACTGCAATCAAGATTTGAGCTACTGTGAAATTAGTTATCATTCTCAACAGACACTGATCAAAATGACCCTAGCGTCTGTGGCTGGTCCTGGCGGGACCTGGGGAGCCTATTCGCCCCCTCACTCCCTGCAGGGGCCACTCCGAGCCTTGTCTTCTGCAGGTAAACCTCCACCTCCACCAGCTCCTGCCTGACTGGCAGCAGATGAGCTCAAAGCAGACTTCAGAGCACAGACCCCAGGAAACAATGCCCTGGACCTCCGCCCACCAGGCCTGCATCTGCCCGGCTCCTCCCCCACTGCAGGCCGTGCAGGGAGGGGGCCCTGCTCTCCTGCGTGCCCCCCGACCCTGACCCCTGCTCCCGGCCTCCTCCTCAGACTCTGCATTTCTGTTAACCCCACCTCACCTTGACCCCCTGCCCATCCTACTTCCCCAGCTCCTACCCATCAGCATGTAAACATGATCCAGTTCTTCCTCATCTCAAAAAAAACCCCACAGAAGTTCCCTTGAGCCCTGATGTCCCTTTCGAGCTACAGCCCCTTCTTCCCCTTTCAAAGCCAAATTTCTTGAAAGAATGGCCCACACTCGCTCCATCTTCCACACTCACTCCATCCTCTGCCACCCCACCTTCTGCCTAGGTTTTGGTCCCCGTTCTCATGGCTCCAATGACCATCTGCTCACTGCCCACGTTCAACCCAGACCTCTCAAGATGCTGGTTTCCTGACCCTTCTCTCTGCTCACTCGTAGCCCACGTGCCACATCCTGCAGGCACCTGCCACACAGCGTAGTTGTGAAAGGAACTCAGTTTCCTCCACTGAGAGCCCTCCAGGAACCCCACCTGGCCTCTCCTGCTCCCGGCCTCTGCACATACCCTTCCCTCCCTCTCTTTCCTCATTTTGCTTCTTTAACTTCCACCCACTCTTCAGGTCACAACTTGGACGTCACTTCCTCCTGAGTGCCCCTGATGTCACCCACCCCCAGCCTCCAGGAAGCAGCCTGCATTTCCCCCATCGGAGTTCGTTTCCCTAAGAGTCCCTCAGTCCCCCTGGTCTCACGGTCCACAGTACTACAGCTGCTCGCAGGGGCAACCCTACAACAAGACAATTACGCATGTATTCTGGGTATTTCCTTACCTCCAAGGTGCCCAGCTCCTCACCTCTGCCAAAATATTCCGCATCCTTTAAAATTCAACTCAAAATGTATCTCCCGGGACTTCCCTGGTGGTCCAGTGGTAAAGAATCCGCCTTCCAACGCAGGGGACGAGGGTTCAATCCGTGGTTGGGGAACTAAGCCCGCACGCCACAACTACTGAGCTCGTGTGCCTCAACTAGAGAGCCCACGTGCCGCAAACTACAGAGCCCACGCACCCTGGAGCCTGCACGCCACAACTAGAGAAGAGAAAACCTGCACGCCACAACTAGAAAGAAGACTGCACACCACAACGAAAGATCCCGCATGCCTCAACTAAGACCCGACACAGCCTAAAACTAAAATAAATCTTTAAAAGAAAAAAAACAAACAACAACAAAAAACCAAAATGTATCTCCCTTGAAAGAAGTGCCAAGTCCATCTCAGATGAGCCCCAGATGCTTTCCTAATCTTAGTAGAGGGAATCTTTATAGCCAAAGTCTGGGTAACCTCCCTGATCTGTTGTCAGAGCTAAAATGTACCAGGTACGGTGCCAACTCGCCAATATCTCTGCCCAACCCAGGTGCAAATAGGCTCCCACTGCTGTCAGGAGTTGTACTGTGCATGGGATGGGGGTGAATTTACTTTTTAATTTAGATGAGATTAGGCGGGTTCAGGGTGGTATGGCCGTAGACTGCTTTTTAATTAAAAGAGAAATTTTCCTAATATAGACCTAGGAAAACTTTGAGAAAAAGAAAGGAGTCTGTACCTAAACAAGCCTGCTCTGACCACCTGAAAAATCATATATAAAGTGACCCTCATGACAATGTACCTGTTCTCTGTTTCAATTCATGTTAACTACACTTTTTAAAGGGGTAAAAATATTAAAGTTGAGCTAAAATCGTTGAGTATATTGAAAACAAGGTTCTAAACACTCATATTTAAAATCTGGTTCTAAGATGAATGAATTCTCTAAAAATTAAGGACAATGCAAAAGGAAAAATTAAAATAATGTTACCATTTATTGTTATTAGTACTTTATTATACATTTTTATTCTGACTAAAATGCCAGCTTCTGTTTATTCATTTTTTACACTCCTGTTTTCAAAATGAGTTTGAGGTCATTACCATAAAGTGCATATACACAATAAAATTAATAAATGGTAGATCAAAAATATAATCTTCCAGTTGCTTCCCTAGTGGCGCACTGGTTAAGAACCCGCCTGACAATGCAGGGGACATGGGTTCAAGCCCTGGTCCGGGAAGATCCCACGTCCCGCGGAGCAATTAAGCCTGCACTCTAGAGCCCGTGAGCCACAACTACTGAAGCCCGCGCACCTAGAGCCCACGCTCCGCAACAAGAGAAGCCACCGCAATGAGAAGCCCGCGCACGGCAACGAAGAGTAGCTCCTGCTCGACGCAGTTAGAGAAAGCCCGCGCACAGCAATGAAGACCCAACACAGCCAGAAATAAAATAAAATAAAATAAATTTAAAAATATACATATAATCTTCCAGAGTAGGAGAATGCAGAGACTGGCCGAGTTGCCAGGACTCAGCCTCACATGTGGTCACGGCGCTGGCTTCAGGTTTAAAAGCAGAGGAGTGTCTATAAGATGCCCACTGGGTCCTGCACTGGCCTCGCTTTATTGACTAATTATTAGGCAAGGACAGAACCATGACTTCCTGCAGCTTATAGGCTTCACCTCTGCAAATCTCACAAACATGTGCATCATCACACATCACACCTCATTCTCATTCACAGCTAAGGACAGTCAGCAGACATAAGCCCAGGGCCCCCTCTTCACAGGTTTCCCTTTTCTAACAGGAAGAGGGAAA